CGCTGATGATTAGAAATATTCATCTCAAAGCACGAAAAATCTAACAGTAATAAAAAAAAAGGAAAAATATAAGAGTAATAAAAAAAATATCTAATGATAGAACGTCTATCCCACTATATCGCAAAAATAAAAAGTACCTCAATGCAGCGAGAGTACGTGCATTTGTTTATATCAAATGACGCAGTTAAAGAGACATTACATTGCTCAACACCCACCCACAAATCTCACTCTCATTCTGAAACAAAATACCAAAAAAAAAAAAAAAAAATCATTTCATAGGAATGAAGGTAAACATACTTTACTTTCGATATATTTCCCCATAACAGGCGTAGAGCTACACCTAGCGGCAACAAAAAAATTAATTAAATGTTCTATCTAAAAAGTCAAATGTGGTACACCCGGCCGGTAGAGTGAATTAAATGGCGATTTAAATTTGACACAACTGGCCGTGAGGTAATGTTCGCTGCTGATGCACATATGACACGCTCGTACTGAAAGGGTTAGAAACAGAATTACAAAAGTCGATGGTATTTTGGTGAAGATATATTAAATGGTTAGCCTAGATAATTGTTTTTTTTTTAAAATTTTATTTTAGTGCAAAATGACAATTAAAGGCATTTAAGAAAGGAGAAAAGGTTTAAAAGATTTTGTTTTATACAAGAATGTGGGGAATTTATTTTCATTTAACATGCACTACACATGCGAATCTCTGGATTCTCGAGGTTGCTGGAAACCAAAGATGCTTGAAACTCGAACTTGCTTTGCGTTTCAAACAGACAATCTGATTGGCACTGTGAAAATTGGCTCTATGCCAGCTGTTTGAATGATGCTCACACAGTACATGATTTGCCAAGAGAGTGATCGCTTTCATCGTTGGCGCGAAAATCACTTTCCTGGGGATCGCATTATGAAATTCCCTGACTGGTCCCAATTTTACAGGTAGTGCGGCAAACCTGCACACAATATGCAATAAGCACAGCCTAGGAAACCATAAGGTGTCATGCAGTGAGCATTGAGCTAGAGGCTCAAATGATTTCTTTGATTCTCAAATGGTCTTATTCCAGAGAGACAGTTGAAGGGTCTAAAGGACCATTTTACTAATCCAGATAAAGTTTAATAGACGGCACCAACTTGTCCTTACAGAAGTCAATAGCTTTGGCTTTTTTAAGTAATGGATGAACTAAAATTAATGAAATTAGACTACAGTTTAATGAGTGTGCAAGTTAGCTCTGACCAAAGTTGGCTATAAACTAGCCTAAGGGTAAGAATAACTCAACGCTGCAGAATACTGATCACTAGAGAATCAAAGTTAGCAACGTGGCTTTTAAGCAGACAGAACATGCTCTGATTTCATTCTTTAAAAACCTTCCTTTAAATATTTCCTTCACTCTACCTAATTTGAACATCTCACGTGCTGGATATTTACATTCTGGCAGGGAAATGAAATCAAGGCTTGATATAGAAAGGTAAATTAACTGGTTACAACCTTAAATGTTACTCTATATCTTCATTGTTGATGGGGGCAAGATGAATATTTCTGGGTAGACTTTAACCTGGAGAGAGTCCGGAGCATGCAACTTTCTAACATAAATTCATGAAAAACATTTGTTGGTATAGGAATGATTTACTTGTTTTAGAAAGAATTAGGACAAATGGCCATATCAAGTTCACATATGTTGCAGGAGTTCCATTATTGTACACAAGTATGTAGGCGAGCTTTACACTGCCAAGTGAAGCTAGTCAGGCGTTATATGAGCACCAAGTTTCTGAGAAGCCCTAAGCCAGCTGTCTAGTAATTGCATTATGGACTCATTTTGAAAACATTGATTAAATAATGGTCAACAATGCTGCAGTTGTCTTCAGATGGCCATGTCTAGCAAGATATCTGTTTCAGATTATTGAGATAATGTTTATAATTTAACAATCACTTGTTATTTCTGGGCTTCATCTAAATTAGGAATTCCCAAGCCTTTTCTTGAATCTAATCCTTTTAAAGAATAGTTTTCTTCATTGATCCCCTTTAAAATTATCACTATAATATAAAATATACAACATAATCATAACATAAATAATTGCATGTAACTAATTTAAACAGATTTAGACTAGTTTTGGGGAAGGATTTATTTTATTTATGCTTTATTTTTGTATTAGTACTGTTTCAAATTTTACAAATATAAGCAGTTCAGTTCAGTTAGAAAGCCTAAGAGGAGACATGTTTTCATGGAAGACTTTATGAGGGAAAATGAGTCATTTTCATATTACACCTGCAGAAAACCAGGAAAACAATCTTGCAGCCAGCCCATTTGCCTGGAATTGAACCCAAACTACCAGCATTCAGATGTATTAACCATTCAGCCATGAGTGGGGATACAAATATAAAGAAGTTTTCAGAAAAAAAAATCTCATATTCTAATTGCATAAAAGTTAGATGTTAATTAATCCAATGGCTACGCTTGATGTAGTGATGCAGTTTACAATATTTAGCATAAAATTACTGATTCTTAAATCACCTTATTCAAAATATTCAACCTGTTTCTTGTTTTTGTAGAAAATTACTGACTTGACTAAAGCTTGCTTCTTGTAAGATGGAGAAAAAGACAATGGTGGATTAGTAATAGCTTTTATTCTGGGAAATTTATCTTAGATAACTTCTGGATAAGACTTGTGCTTCAACATCTTCCTTCAATACAATCAACTCTTCTTTCAGCATAATATCAAGATGAGATACATCACAGCTCAGTAGTTCTATGAGTTATGCTGACACATTCAGATTTTTAGTATCTTAGAAGTAAACATTAAAATCCAGAGCTTAAATTGCACCGGAGCCTGGCTCTGGTCCTTCTTAGTTTTGGTGATAAATCCTAAATCTAGCCGGAGCGCACAGGAGCACTAAAATAAGAAAGTTCTGGCACTTCTTTTATGTAACTGAACAACAATTTCAGTAGATATTTTACCTCGAAAATTTTATTTTCAACCACAAAATTCTATTCAAAATCGCTCATTAAATTTTAATTTAATTAAAATTTTCTAACTACTTTAATAATCCTTGAAAAGGTATGGATGTTTGTAAATGTATAGTGTCGGTGCGGCACGGCGGCGCTCTAAATATGCACTGAGCCGAAAGCCCTCCCATGTGGACTGGTGGGTGAGGAGAGGGGTGGAAGATCCCCAGATATCTCCGGGGTACTCTCCTTCAAAATTGGGGGCAGAAAATAGAAGCCCAATCTCTCTGAGTAGGCTCTGGCAACCATTGTTCCGTGTAATATGGTTAAGACAACAACAATTACTACTTTAATCTTTAATAAATAATTTTTATGATATAATAATAAATATTAAATAATTTTTAATTAATTTGATAAATATTAACTATTTAACTTTTAAATTATTAATGATTTTAATAGTCATTTTATTTACTCTTGTTTCTTATCCCGATCGTCTTTCTATAGGGCTCCGGCACTTTTAATTTTAGAAATTAATAAGCCCTGTTAAAATCATACCATAAATTTTGCAAGTGACTTGTATAGAACAAGATATAAGGAAAAACAAGCCTTTTCATTCAATAAAGGGCAACCACATTAAGTTATGAAAGTAATGGAATATTTTTTGACTCAGTGTCAATATAAAACAAGTCAGTTTAGAACAAAAATAGAAGAAAACTTCTAGCTTCAATGAAATTGACGTTTGTTCCTTGCAGTTTGTTTTCTGTGGCATTGAACAATGGACATACATCAGCCAAGCAGAATATATATTTTTCAAATTTAAGCAAATTGTGGTCCTGCACTTCACATTTTTATTTTGTAATTATTGCATAATTTTTTTTTATATATTTAGCCCAAAGGACATTATCTCAGAAGGGCTATTAATTTTAAAACGGCATTTTGCATTGATTCACTTTCAAACTGCTGCCACTAAATATTACCGCAATGTTTTATATTTAAAGAAACTAAATAATGAAGAATCTGCATCAATGCATGAATGTTTCTCGCACCGTGAAGACACACCGGTACCTAGAGCCATCAAATTTTGAATAATATAGTCCTCCAAAAGAACATGGGCACTTGGAAACCCGAATTTTCAATTTGTTTTATTATTGGTTTCAAATTTTGTAAAACTTTAATGAATTTTTGATGAATAAACTCAACGATTTCAAAGCCAGCAATAGCAACACTGTATGGGGGGAGGGGGCATTTTTATCTCCAACGCACGAAACTGTGTATCGGAAATGGTACAGATATGCTATTTTTAAATATTTAGTGATATTGCTGTTGAATTTTATGTGTTTTAAGTGCAAAGAACATGATATTTAATAAACAAAGGTAACACACAAAATGTTAAAAAAATGCCCTTTTGGGTGTAATATAAAATCTGCAAGTTTTCAGATTTTATTTTTTTTAAAAATATTATTACTAATTTTTAACACATATTTAATCATTTTTGCATTCCCCCCTTATTATTTATTTTATATGATTTCTTCCTTATTACATGATACTTTGTATCAACAAATGATTAATTATCAATTTTACTAACAAATTTTTGTGTAATCAATGAGATCTTGATTGTGTGGTTAACTGCCAGTGTATATTTGGCTATCGACGCTTTGATTATTTGTAGCCCCTTTAAAATTTCATGAAGCCCAGGCAATTATTATCGGCACCATTGGGATTCGTTGATCTTGATTATTCAAAGAAATTTATTTCAAATGTGATTATCAATCACTGACCACTATCAAGCTTAGAACTTGACAATTAACCAAAATATTTGCATGACGCAGCACAATTCATTTTATGATTTCATGATGTTTATCTCATTTACATCTTCTGCATATATTTTCATAGTATATAATCACCATAAATCATTACACTTAATGGTATTTCAATTGTTCTTTGCACGGCTAACAACATTTTTAAAACTATATTTTAAATAAGATCAACAGTAAAATTTCCAAAACTAATTTTGGTTTCGTATATAGATAGTTAATGTAATTAGTCAGAAAATATTACCTTTTTTGATATAAATAAATTATGAGACTTAATTTTTCTTTGGCTATATGGAATGGAAGGTCGGTTGCTTTCTTTCTTCACACGATAAATTCTGACCAACCAATGTTCAGTAGTATATGCCTCTTCTAAATGCTCCAGCTCAAAATTTTTATTACCAATCTCCATATTCCGGGTTCGATCAAATCCTGATGGTGTACGAAAATCAAGCTAAGCAAAGAATATTAATTTTTTAATTAGCAAACATCAAAATGTAAAAGACAAATACACATTTACAGAGAAAGGCAGATGCTCTCAATCTTTTTCTAGAAAAAGAAATAGCTGACTTAAACCATTCATACATATAACCTTAAAAAACTTAACACTAAAATGCTACAAATTTGGAAATCTCATAAACATTATCATAATTACAGAACTCTTTAAAAAATTTAGATAAGAATTTCTATACGATCTCGAACTCAAAAAATTAAGAGATAGTTTAAAAAGGCTTTTCCTAAAATGTAGTCTTAATATTTTCATGAAAATTTGCCTTAATATTTTTAAACGCTTTGCAATAAGCATATTAAAATTATTTTCAGTAGTACCAACCAAATTGCTGGTTATTTATGCAGTCATTCAAATTCCTAATTATACGTTTACTACTTCCAGTTTAGTAAAGCACACACAAAATTTTGTTCATTAATGAGAATAACCTCAAGTTTTTAAAAATCATTGTATACAATATATGTCCAACTACAGATCAAGCATAACAGGATATCCCATAATGTTTTGATGCAACAGCAAGCACAATTTAAATATAGGAATTAATATGAATATCATTACCTGTAATTCTCCAAAACGATAATAACTCAGCTTGTACATCAAGCAGTTAAGTAATGTTGGAGAACCATGTTCATCTACTCGAAACTCTCCTCTACTAGTATAATAATCACTTTCCTAAGAAGAAACAGAAAATTTCTGACCACTATTTCTCACATAAATATGAAGAATTGGAGAAAGAGAATTTAAAAAAAAAAAAATCAGTATTTAACAGAAAATTCATTAATGATATCCAGGAAGCAAACTTGATAAAAAAAATTAAAAATACCTGCAAAATAGCTTTGAATAAAAAAAGTTACATTTCCAACATCATTAAAAAAATAACTGTTTAACAGCAGTGGTTTTCAACAGAATTTATTATTTTTAAAAATTACGTATTACATACATAATTAAAAATTATGTATACATACTTTAATATCACGTGGATGTTCCCCTTCTGCAATACGCACCATCCAGAGGAACTTATTTAAATCATCACCTGAGTAGCCAATCACACCACCAAATATGACTAGCACATAATCAACATCAAGGGTTTTCATTATTTCATACGCAGCACTTTCATTTGATGCCATGGCCTTTCCAACCTAAACAAATGGAAGTATACAATAAGATGAAACACTCGAGGAACTACCAGATAAAAGGTTAAAGTTAAAAAACATTTTGTAAGCAAGATATAATGATTTATGTGACACAATGCTCAAATCATTAAAAGGTAATGATTGACTTCCCAATTTATGAACTCCGAGATAAATGACAGATAGAAAAATTTTCAAATTAAATTGGTGAACAAAATGAAATACTTCCAGAAAGTGTGCTTGGCTCATAACTGTGAATTAAAAATTCTGCGAAGGTAAATGTCTATGTTAATTCAAAATTACTGAATTTGAAAAAAATATATGTGCTTTTAACACAAAATATATGCAAATAAAATCAGAAATTACAGCTTATATATTCTGGCTGCGCAGAAATCTAATGCTATTAAGCATTTATGCATGAAAATACATCTTAGCAAAATCATTACTCATATATCATTCACAGTGAACACTGAAAAATTTTGTTAGTTAAGGTCAGTCATTCACAAACAATTATTCCACAAAATATTTTATTTCAAGAACATGAAAATAATTTCTCTTCAGTAGAAATGTCAGCGAACTAGAAGATACAATAATCCAAGGGCTTACTACTGCATTCAAAAACTGCTATTTATCCTTGTTAATGAGACAAATTCATGCAATTGCAAGCCAGTTCATATCTTATTTTCACAGCAACCATCAGCACAAAAATAAGAAGGATTACTATTGCTAATGCTCACAAGAAGGATACTTATGTACATGGTAAGCATGTTATACCATGCTTTCTTCCTCTTTCAGCAAGAAGCATTGCCACTGGAACCCAAATGGATTTTTGATTGATAAGTTCAACTTAAAAACTGATCCTCAAAATACTCTTATTTGAAAAGGAACCTGTAACCTTCTGCAGAATTGAAGATTGAAGATTGACCTTGAAAGATCATTTTGATGGTAGTATTCATCTTTCCAGAGAAGACATGAGAAATGAAATGGAAGTTTGCATATTTTTAAAATAAATGTTCTATTATGAGCTGCAGATATATAAATAAAGAGACTTTTTATGTAGACTAGCTGTCTGTGAAAAGTGAGTATAAATCCAACAAGATTTAATTTACAGTTTAATTAATTACATGAAAAGACACTAAAATGTTTTTGTTGATCATTCATCATACTAACTCCTTCTGGTCAGAGTAAAGGAGATATAACAATGTCATTTTTTCCATTGCATAAATATTTACACCAGTTGTAAATATTTTAACAGTTTTGTAATAAATGTTAAGTAAATACTCGAGTAATTTTAACTTGTAGAGTACACATTTGGGCCATGCAAATATTTCTCTTAACTTTTGCTCAATGCAAGTATTTTGATTTGATGGTCTTTCCAACCTTAAACAAATGTCAGATTGGAATGAGATGAAATAATCACATTTGAGGAACAACTACACAACTTTACATGTACAGGCATAAATAGCATATATCTATTTATATGCTACACTGAAGCTTGTATAAAATAAACTTTTCTTATATATTGCAATAATGCATTTGTGATGAAATCTTTTAATTTGGGACATCAATTAATTAATATATATGCAGGATATAACAAAAATACGATAGCTGTTTTAAAAATAATTGATGACCTCAAAATTAACTAGTCTAGATTTGGTACATTCCATGTTATATAACATTGCTTGAAAAAGGTAACTAAAACTAAAATTAACCAATCATAGTTTGCCTCTAAAATTGCATCTACTTTGGTATAAATATCGCTCGCAAGAAATTTAGTCATTCTTTTCCTAGCCCCAGACATGCTATCAATGCTATGCTACTTTGTTTTTCACTTATTCTAAAATAACATTGTATCCCTGTTAATCTGTGTATATAAAAGAAATTATTTAATTCATTATGATTGGATAAATATCTACTAAGATGGTTTTATATGCGTGAAAATAAAGATTGGGACTTCTTCAAAATTCGTTTGTGTTGGTGTCATCTGGTTGTCTTTTCACTCAGTCATCATGACTACTCATTAAAAATATCACATACACACATGTAGAGCAAGCAACACTTGATAATACATAAAACTTTAAACATAAATATCAGAGATGCATTTGCACTTACTAAAGCAATATGACTGTTATTCCATGTATTATTATCAACAAGGGTCGTTCTATTAGCCATTCCAGCTATTTGATAGCCATAGTCCCACCAACTCATAACTCTTGCATCTTCTGCAGTGTTCTGTGATATCCAATAGTAGGCTTCTCTGAAGTCATCTAAAATCAGTCGGGATCTAAAATAATAACAACAATAATAATAAAACACTGAGATGTTATTACCATAAAATATGACTAAATGAATGTAATATGGGATGAATAATGAATGTAGAGTTCTTTTATTTCAAATTCTAAGAATACAATCACTGGTACTATGTTTACTAAATTTTTATGAGTTCTTAGTAGAATGAAAGATATACATCATAGTGAAAAGTTTCGAAAACATATTTTAAAAAGAATACATAAGCATGCTGGCAGAACATGTCTATGCTATGTCCTAAATAAAAACTGTTCCTTCATTAATAACACTAAACAGTTTAAACATTACAAAATTAAAATGCTAAGAATTACAATTCCATATTAAATTGAGAAGAACATTATTTAAAACTTTTTCAAACAATACAGAACTAAATTTAATAACTTTTAGGAAGAAGGATGCAAATAACTTAACAAATAGTATTAGTTTTTATTGAAAAATTCAAATTAAACCATTATGCCACTGAGCTGTAACATGATAAGTAAAATTTAAACCTGTTTATAAATTTTCTGGTATCATTAAAAAGGCCCTTATGAAGTACTTGGTGATTGAATACTCCTAAGCATTTAGCCTCCCATTTTACATAAACCGTTCCACAAAACTGAGACAAAAACCAGAAATCCAGGACAAAAACAATAAAAGTTATAGCAAGGTAAGAAAGCTATTATTTGTTAATTGGAATTATATGGAAGAGGTATCGGCCAATTTAAAATTAGGTACAGAAATAACATTAAATCAGAGTAGATTTTATACAAAATATGACTGTTCCAGGCTTATCTTCCCAAAGGAATAAAAGGATTTTGTTATTTTTTGGCTTCTTTTAAGAACTGTTTACTATAAAATGGAATTAATAACAAGATATCTCCTCTCTTCTGGAACCCTGGTATCAAAACAGTTTAGATAATTAGAGCAAAGCACTGAATTGCACCTTAGGATGCTTCTGAAGAGGATTTTTTATGAGAAACAGATTGTAATCATCTTAAGCATTAAGGTCAGCGAGTGCAGATTTTATGTAAGAATGCCAATGGACTGTGTATCCACTTCATTCTTTCTTACAGAAACCTCTGTTTCATTTAGTGCAGAAAAAATTATATTTGATTACAATATCAATTAGGCTCATATACTCTTAGTAAAGAGTCAAGATCCAACGTGAACTCAGATTAGTTCACAACCATAGAAGGCCAAGAATACATCAAAGACAGAGATCATCCATTGGCATACTAGATGCATGATAGAACAGTATTAAAATGGTTGGATGCAGGTCAAAGGCATATAGATGAAATCTTGAAACTTCACATACAACTTTTCTTAGCGGCTTTAAGTCTATACTTTATTTTTGTGAAGAACTGTGACTGTGAATGAATACCTTGAAAATAAGAAGATGCAAAGAACATAAGTTGTTGCTCAAATTGCTGTACTTGACAACTATACATCCTGTCTGGGCTGAATTGGGAGAAGCAATTTCAATATATCACTCTTATCCCAGAGTCTAGTAGTTATATGCAGCTTCATGAGAAAACAAAATTTGTTCCTCCAAAATAACATCTTTCCTCGTAGAGAGTGCAAAGACTTTTTTCTTCTAAAATTCCACCCGCTTCAAGCTCTCTTTGGCATAAACCTGTTTTCATAGCATGAAATATGTTTAAAACTAAATATGCATTTGTACTGTACATTGCTTTGTACATCTACATAAAATTTCTTTAAAATCTTTTGCAGAATTCATTTTAAATTTTGCATGCCTAAGGTATTTTATTTATAAGCCTGTTGGACTGAATATATAAATTTAGAGCTCTACTTGTGATTTTTAACTGTACAATATGTTAAAGCTTGATTGCACACTTTAATGAAAATCATGGTCATAATCTCAAAAACAACCTAATAATCTATAACATTAATACACCATAACACATAAAGAACAAAAATACAAACCCATCAGAACTGTATGATGCTAAGACGATGCTAGGACTCGAATATGCATTGCTAGTTACCCAAGTACAATGCACTGCAAACATCATTAAGATCATCATTAGCACCACAATAACTATGCTACGCAGATTTGTACCCAAGCCATGATTTTCTTTTGACTGATCAGTTTTAATTTTGCGTATTTTTCCAGCCTAAAAAATAATCAGATAATATTTGTGAAACAAGAATACATCAAATTTCTTTTTTATTACCCAATTTAAATAGAGAATACTATGAAGACAGATAAATGTCTCAATAATTTATACTGAACCAAAAATTAAGCGAATTTTAAGAAATATTTTTAGTGTCCAGAGTATCTGGATATAAGGTATAAAACCCTTTAATTTAAACATTCTAAAATTATAAAAAACTACTTTTCATTTTTTAAGTATGATCTTACAAAGCTAATTTTTTAATTATTGACAGATAAATTCTTCAGATATGAATAAAATTCTCTCACAGCTACTATATAATGAAATCTTAAAAAATGCACTTGAACCATAAAAACGAAACATACAAAATACACAAATATCTTCACATAAACAATGAAAAAGAGACTACTTTTTTAATATGTCAGCATAATTCAATAGCCTAGAACATGATTAAGGAAGAATGTATACATTTTTTCCACATTGTTGAATATTATGAATATATAAATAGACAAAATTTTGAATAAAAATTAAGTGTAATAACAAACCCTCTGAAGAGAAAAGCATTTACAGTTTACATTTTTCTATAAAATTTAGGTTTTTTAAACACATTTTAAAAATTAAATATGGAAAGAAGTGTAAGATTTATTAAAATTAAAAAATACTAATGCACAACTTTCCATTACTGAGAATTTTTAATGAAACAAAAATACTTCCTTAAATATCAATCAAATAAATTTCTTTACATTACTGATATGAAATTTACTGCAACTATAGAAAAAAAAAAAAAAAAACAACATAGAAAATTATAAGAGGCCCGATCAATTATATAAATTTATTTAGTTCTGGATGCATAAATTTCTAGCACAATAATTTAATTTTTTTTTTAGCTAAATGATTTCTTGTTTCTCTAAAGTCAATACTAAATACCTTCATGTAAAAGACTATAAACAAAATTTATTATGCATATTTCTTTAAAATAAAATAAAAATATAAATAGACAAAGCACATTTTTTAAGGCAACAATTACCTTGTCATACAGATTATTTTTTCCTTTCTTGTCAGGGGTTCCATCACTTTCCTCTGAATCACTATCATTTGAAGACAAAGATGTTTTAGGGCACTCATCATCCTGAAGATATGTTTCCATTGCTTGTGAGAATGCAATGGCACTCAAAACACACACAACTGGAGTTAATGTAAGCATCAATCGAACCATCACTCCAGCAAAATACACAGCAGTAATGGCATACAAAATAACTGAAATATACAAAAATTCTGAGCACTATATCTACAACTTAAACACATTTTTCATATTCAAAAGCTACATTCCAGTACTTTAAGACAGACCTCTTACTTATAAATTTAGGTGTTATTTCAAAAGTATCTACTAAATAAACTCCTTTCATTGATCAGTAGCAAGTGGCACTGCTATAAAAAATACTTTATTTACAAACACTATTATTTTATCCCCCAAACTAAAAATGTATCTCAAAATTATACATACTATAATAGACACAATGCTTATTTCCAATGTTTTTATAGTCAAGAGTTTCTAATTTCTCTCCCTTCAAATGTTACTTCCCATTGAAATAAAGTGGCATGACATTTAAGTATTAGTTTGGGAAAAAAAATTCCTTTTTTTCCCTGCATGAACATTTAATAAGCTCATGTCTTCATATTTGAATATTAATAATTCTTTAAAATAAAAAAAAATACTTATATTTATAACATTTGCAATGTTTTTTCACAATGTTTAAGAATATTGTATCTACCATAACATTTCCTGATCACATATGATATCTTTTTGACAGTCTCAAAACAAGAAAGCCCTTGGAAAGCAGGCTCTTGGCAGAAAGAAAGATAATATTTTTCATATACAGCTGATTTCAGAGATAAAAAAAAAACTATATCAGTCAGTATTAGATATCTGCAGATAATCAAGAGGAGGGGATACTGCCCCATTTTTTTATAAGATTTGCCATGCTTTGAGAAATTCTTTAGATCATGCATCTTTAATGCACATCATGTTTCACAACATCTGCAAGCTACCAATTTTACCTAACTTTCACTTACATTAGTGACTGTATACAAATTTTCATATGTACCAAAAAAAAAAAATAAATAAATAAATAAAAGCTTTTGTCACTACTCAATTTATGTTAAATACATAGAATGCAGTTATTGGCACCCGTCAAATTTTATTTTGCCTCGGTAACTGGGATAACACATTTTTGCTTTGATTGTTTTTCACTGTACCTGACTATCACATGAAATACAAAACTATCATGCAAGCACACCTACAAGATGATTTTTCATAATTCTCCACATTTACGCTATGTTTTTAAATTAAATTCACTTCTAATTTAACCTCTCTTTGTTTCTAAGTTAATATATATACTGGCAAAAAGAATACATAGTTTTTTTCTGTTTTATTTCTTTACATTTTACAGCTTTATTTTGATAATCCATTATTCCGGGGCTTATGAAACATTTTGTCGCTTCAGAAAACTGGAAAATGGTGGTGCTTAACCGAATGCCATTTCCATTTAAATAATAACAATTCTATACATGCAATGATTCAACAGCTAATTCTTTTTATCATTATGTATTTATAGAGAAGCAGAAATATATATTTTCGTCTTAAAACATTCAACATTTCATACTGAAAAACCTCCCCTTAAACCTATATCAAACCCACAAACATGAAATGCAATGGATAACTTTCCTAGAAACATATTTTTCTTGAACTAGTTTGAATGACAGGTTGCACCCAAGATATTTTATGACAATTGGAAAAAAACGTCATATCATGATCATATGAATGATAAAGATACCATGTTTTATATGAGTAACACAATCAAAAAGAAAGCTCACAGAACCTAATCATGCAGCCTGAATACGTAAACTTCTTGGAAATGAAAATTTGTTGAAATACTGCGTTTGAACAAAATATTGTGAGATTCTCTAGTCTAATAGCAACTCCAGATTAACATAGAAATGTACATTATACAAGAGAACCTACTGTAAATATACTAGAGACCACTTTTAACCATTAGCTGATATAACAAAATCTGCACAAAATACATCTGAAACTGCAGTTTGATTTCACATTTATGATTAAAAATTTGGTTTTAATTATATTTTTTATTCTCACTTCAGTTAATTATAAATTAAGTTCATCCAATGAAAAAAAAAATGAGATGCAACTACTTCTAATAGAAAATATTTATATCATTAATTAAGCAAATCACTGATGACACTATGAAATATTTGACAAGCTAATACCAGCTGAATAACTGAATAATTATTTCTTTCGGTTTCAGTTTTAAATAAGCAACAAAAATTTGCTTTTATATAATGGTACTTTTTTATGAGAAGGACGCTCTTCACATAAATTTAACATTAAATGATCAGGTATTTTAATGTGAAAAAAGAAAATTGTGAATGCCACTACGCCCTCAAGTTGGCAAATGTGATGATACGTGTTCTGTGCTGGTTTTTTGCACGATTGCGTGTTCTGCGATGGTTTTGGGGGCGATGTTGCTTGTATGGCAACCTTTCTAACGTAGATACTTATTTTTGCTGTAGTGGTTTTACTTGCTGGTTGGTGGGCATTTTGAAATGGTTTATGTTGCAGTGAAAAACATGGTGGCAAAAATTCAGTTGCGCGCCTGGTACAACTACTTTTTTGGATGGCTGGAAATCCTACAAGGATTTAGGAAAAGAATGTTTTAAATATTTATTTGTGATCATAGTATTAATTTTTTGGGTAGTGAATGTGGCTGTCATATAAATACGATAGAGAGTGTGTGGCAGCATGTTAAAACTATGTTGCCTACTTATAATAAGAAATGCAATTTTGAGTTTTGTTTGGTGGTTTATATGTTTTTCCATTACTGTTCTAAAATGGGAGAAGATCCTTTCAACAAATTTGTGGAAATTCTAAGAACTGTTGAGTGGGATAAATTGAAAATTTGTTTATATAATATTTGATGAAAGTGTTTTTTGTTTTGAATCGTTTATCTGATGTTTGAAATTGATATTTCTGCTGTTTGAAGAAGCATTCACAATAAGTGCATTTTATTTTATTTTTGTTCCTATTTTGTAAAATGTTATATTCATTGTTTTTTTTTTTTTTTTTTTTTTTTTTTGTATGAATTTCTGTCATTATTGTTGTTTTTTGAATTGCATGTAATTTATTTTATTTTGTTGATTTGTGTGCAGTGCCTAGATTGTGCAATTCGCTGATGTATTTTTAAGTTAAAACAGAATGCTGTGCACATGGTATTGTTTGAAATTTATTGTTGTTAGTTTATTTTAGCGAGGTGTGCGTAATTCCTAGATACCTTCTCTGCATAGATTGGGCAATTCTCTAATTTTTTAAACTTAAAACAGATAAAACAGTACATGGGTTCTTGTCAAATATTTTCGGTTAGAAACTTTACGTTTTTGCTATCTAAATTTTTTCTTTTTGTGTGGATTTTTGGTGCAAATTATGTGTTAAAAATGTGGTTTTTGCAGACATTTTAGGTTTAAATTTTGAAATTTAGACAAAATTTTAGATAGTAATATGGTGCCATGGAAATTTTTTGCCAACCGAGGGCATATATAAGAGTAGTTCCATTTTTTGTTTTGCATTAAGAAAAAAGAGAAGTCACAAAAAATAATTCAATATTTTATGATACTTACTAAAAACACGCTCATCATTAACATTCTGAATACAATACCATAATCCAACAGGAAATGTTGCAACCAGAACATGCAAATCAAAAAAGAATGAAAACCAGGTGGTGGGCTGATGCTCGGATACTGATGCAATAATAGGAATGTGGATTTTTGCATATCCAGTATCCCATAAGGAGTAGAACCTCCCACTCCAAGGAGCAATAAAACCTATAATTTTTTAATTATTAGTGTGCATATGCATGTATGTACGACATATATTTAACAAAAATACAAAATATCTATGTATATACATAATAATAATAAGCCAAATGTCAAAACAGGAAAAAAAAAAACCTTAACTGAGCAGCACGATTGTTTTTATCCAGTCATGAGATTCCCTGTGAGTTGGCACACATAATTTTGGTATTTAAAACATCAGAGGTATTCAAAAAAGGAAATGAGACAAAAGTTCTGTTAACAGCAATGATTTAACATTTTTAAAAAATATTTACCACTACTATACAGATACATATCACAGCAGGATATTAAGCATAAAGAAAGTCCTAAATTTGTTTCTGGAATCACTTCTGATTTCTCTCCTTTATGTTATTTTTTGATTGGAATCATTGCCATCAGAAAGCTTTCTCTCTCAGCTCTTAAAACAGGTGACTATCTATGAAGTCATCTTCAGATGCATACTGCTGAAGCCATATGAAAGCCTGTTGTCTTCCTCACTCACTGGGTACACATCAACTGCTATAGTTTTCAGGAATCAACAGTAAAACTTCAGTCGATTCCTAACAATTATAACAGTTCCAGCACTCAAGTACATGCTCTCCGTAATTTCTCTATTGTTACACAATGGTCATCATGCTGAATGAACTCATTCACTTTTGCAATAATGGCACCTGTGATGTGCTTGGTCCATAACACTGCATATCTTATGCCAAAGATGATCCCCTTCTCTAATGTGCTTGCAGTAAGATAAGAGTGCTCTATGTATATCCTTGCCAACTGTCAATGCATTTCAGTACATCTTCCCTTCTTCCATGATAAAACAAACTATTGCTTGTTGTTCTTTCAATGTCTTCTTGCCCTATTTTTAAAAGCTTGCTTAAAGTGTAATGACTGCATAGGTGATACACACTATTTGTCACCTTCTGCTTGTATTGACATATAAAAACTCCCTCTGAAATTCCATGCAAGTATGGGATTTTCACCACCAGACACTCAACTATTCCTTATACATTTTGACAGCTTTGATACATTTCACAAAATACATTTTCACTTAATACTCTTCAAATAATTTTTTAATGAATGCCCCGGAAATGTTTTCTTACTTCATTTAGTGATTCTTAATATAAATCAGAGAGCCATTGTCAAACACATGCATGTATGCAACCATCCAACAAAAGTGCTTGCTCAAACCATTATACCTCCACCATGGTTATGATCCTTTTTTTTTTCTCATAAGAGACGGATGGTATTGTGTTCTAGGCTCTCTACTGATACAGGTACGATAAGAATCCTTGTCCAGGTTCAGTCTTGACTATCTGTAAAAAGCATGGTGCTCCACTGAAGTTTGGTACAAGGTGCATGTTGTTTGCACTATGCTAAATGCACTCACTTGTTGAGTGAGACACAACTAGTGGATCTTCTGCCATACAGCCCTATTTCACAAAACCTTCAAGCAACTCTAGACCATAAAACTTGGGTTTCAGTAACAGCATACAGCACATGTGAGAGCTGTTAAGCTGTAGCAGTCGTGTTGCCATGCTGAAAATGCCAAATAATGATACTCATTCAGCCCCATCCAGGTCATCTCGATATGGATCAAGTGCTAAGAAACTGTTTGCATGCAGCCACCAGCACTTATGATCTTACTTACCTCCAATTACTAACAATTTTCAATCTCATTTCATCATTCCATATGTTTGTAGCTACTCATTTTACCTGATACCTTATAAAACATCCCAACTCTTAGGAGAAATGCAACGAATGTCGTGAAGAAGTACGAGCGTACAAATCGCCAAAAAGCTCTTGTATACTTATATCTCCTCCCCAACCACACATGTGCACACTTATGAATTTGACTCTGCATACTTGATAATTCTTCAGAGGCATAATTAATACCTTTGATTCAATACCTTTTGTAAAAATAGATGTAATTTGCATATTCTCTTAATTTTACCCGTGAGTATAAAAGTGCAGAATTTTCTAAATGATCCATTAGTTCATAAATGGTTAACACACCTTCTTAATGTGATCCATGAAAACATGATACTCAAAGGTTACATAAAAGTATACATTCAAACAGGGGAAAAAATGATTCTGTAACAATTGCAAAATGTATGGAGTTAAACATCTTTTATCAAAATAATGCATCAAATGCTGACAAAAATTATAATTTGTTTATATTATAAATTATATGCATTTAAAACTACAACCATTTAGGCATTTTTTTAAAAAAAAGTAACTATAAAGGGGACTGGTCACTGATGACCTGCACGTAGATACAGATGGTAAAACCTGTAGGTCATTGCTGCAGAATAGTGCACTAAATTTAAATTAAATCAAATAATATTGATGCCTGCTCAGGTTGTTGGTTAACCAACTAGTGATTAGTATGACATAATGCAGTAAATTTATAAGTTTAACTAAATGACACAGGAAGCTACAGGTTAATAGTTACTGATGGTCACCCTTTGGTTAGCAACGTGAGAGAGAGCAATAAACTAATTTTTAAAAAAAATTATGATATATTTGTGTCCACCATGATTGCTGGTCATTAGCAACACAGTCATGGTCAATCATTAAGTCACTGGAGCAAAGCAGTGAAATATGTTTAGACTTTAACCTGAAACACAGCAATAAACATTAAGGCTGCAGTGAGCTACAGGTTAATGAATACAATGACCTCTGGGTTAATCACGTCACTCGGGATCAATCCACAAGTCACCAGTGTGAGGTAGTGCACAGATGTATTTCTTAATTAAACTGAAACAATAAAGTGCATATCAAAACTGCTGGTCACTCATGGCCTACAGCCACTTGCAATCAACCTATAAATAACTGTTATGCAGCACTGCGGTAAATTTAGGTTTTTAAATCAAAATTAAGTCGAAGGACACTGTCTCCCAAAACTGTTGATCATCAATGAACCACAGGTTGTTGGCCACTTTAGAATCAACAGATATGTCACTTGTGGGGGGGGGCTTCAAAAATTAAACAGATTTCTAAAGGGAATGAATGACATGGCCACTCAAAGTTTTTGATAATCACTGGATTTATAGGTTGACTATCACTAGTCACCAACCAACTGGTCACAGATGTGTAGCACTAATATAGGGAAATAAATAAGATCATTGAAACTAAAGGACACCATTGAACATTACGAAACATCACCAGTGATATATGGAGTATTAATCAACTGTGTATGACAGTGCAATGTTTGTTGCAGTGGCAACACCTAACAAGTGGAAGATAACTATAAATCATGACATAGCAATGGTCCATATATTTGGGAAAGCCTTGTAACATCAATAAATTCATAACATTAGGCAGATATCAAGCTAATCTTCTAGTTTCATGAAAGAAATATTAAGATGTCTTACCAGCATATGTTAGAATCACAACGCCTAAAAACACCGAAATTCCAGTGCCAATTACTGCAAAAACAAACACAGTCTTAAGCTCTGACTGCGTCATGAATGACTGAAGATACTTTAAAAATGCATACGCATTTAGAAGAATGAACACACCTACATAAATGGAAGAAAAAAAGACGTTATAAATGAGTTAAAAAATACATATTTAGATTTGAAATTGATACAAGGGAATTCAACAACAGGAAATAATTTTTAATACATACCAGCAGATGCCATATGTTCACTGGTTCTTACAGGCTGAAAACCAACAAAAGGAATCTGCATTGACAATAACAAGCCCAGAATGTAGAATGTGGTGTATGCTACAGAAGGGAAAAAAATGTCTACATAAAAAATAGTAACAAAGATATAAAATACATTAATTTATCATCAAAATACAGAGAATTATACAAAAAGATACAACAGGCTTTTCAACTCTCATATTTATCCATTATTATTTTACTGAGAACTCTCCTTTACTGTACTATTTGATATCAACATGAACTTGTCAGCAACATTTTCTACATGGTATCAATAAGCTCATCATAACAAATAAACCCAAATCATTGTTTGTATTTAATTTTCATAGCAATAAATATATCTTACATACAATTACTAAAATAAGAATGAATTTAAAACACTGCTTTGAGATTTTAAGGTAGCAAAAACTATCGGCTCGCAACAATATACAGCATTTTCCACTCCAATAAGTTTACGTTACACCACTTCTCTAATACAAAATGCATAACATTAACACTTCCTTTGGTTTATGAAGAGGGTTTCTCTTTTCTGTAAATTAGCAAAATGTAAAAATATTGTTAAGTATTTGTTTTATGCAATGATTGAGGGGAAAAGTATGATTTTTTAACTGTGAAAAAATAAGTGGTTTCATGAGAGTTTTACAGGGTGTTTTGGTTACTTACGAATTACGTGCTAAGATAAAATGTGTCAATATCAACAGCCAAGCATACTGTTGTATTTCAAGCTTTTCACATCATGTTAGAGAGATTAATATCAACTTTGACAATTAAGGATGCACGCAAATTAATCTAAATAATCAAAGGTAATGTTCTCAATTTTCACATGGAGTAAATGCCTTTACACTGGTGTGCAAAAATTAAGGACGAGACAGTTTTTTCAATACAACTTTGTACAAAAGCTTTCCAAATCAACACATTTAATGCCATAAGATTCCCAGTACGTAAGGACATGAGTAATGTAAGCAACACTTACTAAAAGAGAAATCAGAGGGATAGAAAGAAGCTTTATTGAAAAAGTAGCATGGAGCGCAATGCGACTGAAGGCCGAAACATCCCTGTGATGGGTGTCCAGCAAGAAACATCCGGTCTTTAATAGGGCATACGATCTCCCCTGACTGCTAGGCAGGTTTCACAGCGTCTGCCCATGCTGAGAATGAGGGTGTCAATGAGTTGTTGAGGCATTGCTGCCCATTCGTCTTGCAGCGCCAATCGAAGCTCCGGAATCGTTACTGGTGGTAAGGTACGAGCTGATAAGCGTCTGCCTAGAAACTCCCATACATGCTCGATGGGATTGAGTTCCGGAGATCATGCCGGCCAATCCATACGTTCAATATCCTCACTCTCTAATAGCTGTTCGGTAGCTACTGTGCGATGACATGGTGCATTGTCGTGCATGAAAAGGAACTACGGACCCACAGCGCCTCTAAAAAGATGCACATATGGAAGAAGAATCTCGTTACAATAACGGGTCCCGTTGACTGAACCTGCGTCGAAGATGTAAAGGTCTGTACGACTACCAAGCATGATGCCTCCCCAAACGAGAACACCGCCACCTCCAAACCTGTCCCTTTCAATGTTCGAGGGATGATTGCGGCTTCCCCGCTCTCTCCAGATGAATATGCGATGAGAATCGCTACTCAGACTGAATCTGCTCTCATCTGTAAAGAGTACTCGTCCCCATTCATTGTCTCTCCAATTTCGGTGTTCCCGGCATCACAGAGAACGCCTTCTTCCCAATAGGCAGGCGTTAGAGGTACACACCGTACAGGGCATCGTGCAAACAGACCACCACCGTGCAGTCTTCTGGCCACGGTAAACGCGATATCGGTCGTCCAGGTCGCCTCTGTCGTGTGTCTAGCGATTTATTTTCTCCCGCTGTCTGCCGCCTGTTTCTTCTGGCCTGTAAGGCATATAACCGGTCATCTGCGGGTGTGGTCCTCGTGGACGACCACTACTAAACCCCCGAATAGCTGTTCCTTTAGTTTGAAATTGTCTCCAAAGTCGTGAAACGATGCTGTGAGCAATTCCGAACTCTGCAGCCACACTTGTCACACTGCGGCCTTCCTCCAACTTCCCAATAATTCGACCTCGGGTAAAAGCATCCAGATGCCATCTAACAGATTGATTATTCGCCATTTCTCGCTGAGGCAGCAACTCGGTGTGATTTTAACTGGTATACGGCGTGCAATCTCTTTGCCAGAAATACTGATCTTACACCGACAACATGCTTTATACTACTCAGACACTTCCCCATTACGTCTATCTGCATATCTGCGCATGTGCTACCGTACATCACCTTACTTAATCTCCTGATTGGTCTTTCTGTCCGCTCTGCCTCTTCGTTCAGCTGATATGCTAATTTTTCGACTTCGTCCTTAATTTTTGCACACCAGTGTAGATGCCTACATAATAAAACAGTTCTCAACCTTTTGACTAACGCATACCATCTAAACAAAAATTGAAACACTTTTAGTACCACCACTACGTTTTACAATGATTAATTTTCAATAGAAATATTAAAACAAAATATATTTCGCCATTTGCACAACCTATTGGCTATATTAAATGTGCACACACAAATATATATATATATATCAGTTTAACTATCAAAATTTAAGTTACAATACTTTAATTCCAAAATTTAGTTTGAAATTTGGGCCTGTTAACAGAGATCAATTTCTCTAAGTGCGGTCTTATTTCACTTTAAATTAGGATTTAATTTAAATTTTGTTCTGTATTTCTTTTTCAAATAAAATGTGGGAGAAAAGACTTATTCAAACAAATAGGTTGTGTAAAAATGCAATAACAATTTTAAAGCTTTATTTGAAATGGCTTTAAATTCTTTTTTCTACCAAATGCTAACAAGTGTGTTATTTTTGAAATCTTCAGTTAAAGTTCGAGCACAGGAAATTTCTATCAATTTTTCTTTTTCTTCACAAGATTTTTGAATTTAATAGTTAAAAATACTTTGTTTCTTTGCATATCAGCGGTTGAGAATAGCTGTAGTAAAATGTTTACTTCAGTGTAAAAGCACTGTAATTTTAATAATGATAATTTTTTAGGGATCAAGAATTATTACAATATTGGAGTCATTTCTGTGATAACTATCAGCCAGTATCCCTTTTTATGCATACAAAGTTATGATAAAATGAGTAAATATTTTTTATTTTATAATTCTGCTAAACTAGCACATAGACTAAATTTTGGGTATAAATAAAAATGAATTATGCTAGCTAGAACCAAGAAAGCAATTTTCATTGAAACTCTGAGATTTCTTGAAATGTAGTTCATCTATTTTGATATTATAATTGAATTTATTTAGTAATAATGAACAGAAATGATAAAAGCATGGAATTGTGATGATCATTAGTTACGAGTTAGAATGTTCATGTTATTGAATTGTGCAATAAAAATCATCATAAGGAAAATGAGGGTGCTAAGCTTCAAGATTAAATTAGCACTGCATGGAATGAAATGCATGATCAAAGAGAGAAATAAAATAACTTGTTTCATCAAAAGAAACATGCTAATGTAAAATTAAGTGAAAATGCAATCTTACTTTGACAAATTGCATAGATTTCATAGGCAATCAGACCAAAGTCCCTCTTTTTCAGAAACAGAAAGATTTTTTCAAAATGAGTAATCATAACCATTTTATGTTATAAGCAACAATCAAAGCGGAACAAATAGTAAGGATCTGTAAACATATTGAGTATCTGTCTAGAAAAATTGTAATGAAACTTGAAAAACTAAATATCAGATATATGAATACATTAGGAAGAGTTGAATTAAAATTATGTCCTTCACTAAAAAAGATACATTGCTTTGATCATGAAAAGCATCATGGGAAGGGGGTCCAAAAATTAACCATAAAATTTTTTTCATTCCAATCAAACTTTCCTTTTTAATCCTTTTAGATTTCTACTATTTTTCAAGTATTATTAATTTAGTTTTTCAAGTTTCACTACTGTTTTCCTTAGAAGATTGCACAACACTCATTTTTTTATTTTGTCTGCTCATTTCTTTTGGTATAAAATGGTTTTTGTTCCTTCCATTTTCTGCATTTTTTTTCCCTCAAAAGGGAAAAAAAAACATGTGTGCAATTAATTGGCCTTGAAATTTAGTTTTATTCAGCATCTACACCAAACTGTGGTTTTTCCCCCTCCCCCTAATTTTTAAACCTGATCTACATTTTATGTACTGAAAATATAGTACTTAACGCATAGAAGACGGGTGACCTAAAAAATGGCCAGAGCTGCAGTCTCAAAGACGGCTGTGGCTGACATTTCAGCCAGAAACATTCTTGCCCCCCCCTACTATTTAGGCTGTGGAGAAAGTCACTATGAGATAACTTTCCTCTGCCGCTTGTCTGATGACCTTCGCACCTCATAAATATGGGGGTTTGTAAATTCTCTTTTTTTTTTTCACTCAACAGTACAGCGTTAGCTCGAGGCAAAAGCTTTCACTTGTGTTTCTCATGATTAACTTTCTCTCTAGAATTCTACATAAGTAATCTAGCCATAATGATATGCATATGCATATGGTATATACATATGCAAATGAAGTGTGTGTACATATGCAACAGAAATGTGAATGTGTAGCATGTATGTATGCTAATTGTGTACATGTATGTACACAGATATATGCATATTTTATGCACACGTGGATAAAAGAATATACATGTAGGCATGTGTAAATACCATGTACATATGACAACTCTGCATAGATATCATATATCTATGTGTATACATCTACTTGAAAATCACATATTTAAATTAAAATATTATATTAATTTATATTTTTTCGCATTCGGCATAGAAGATTTATTAAAAAATACAAACAGACAAAATGCAATAATATTACAATTATTGACGATTTTACAGAAAGAGACTAATTCCACTTATAAAGTCAAGACTTTCTATGAGATCAGCAATAATTACTTATATATTTGCTTTCTATATTTCTTATATAAATATTTGCAAATCCAAAATGTGGCAAGAAAGCAAAATGCGAGAAATGTATTAAATTACAGTTTTGCAGCATTCACTAAGATTTAACTTTTA